ACAAAATAATGTTCTTTTTAGCAACGCCATATGACCCCTTTAAAATTTATTTTTGCATTTAGCATAGTTTTCTTTCCTTTGGTCCATGACTGTATCCTTTTTTTAAATATATTTTTGGGTCTCAACCCACCACTTATAAGGACCCAGAAACCAGTAATGGTGATCCAAAACCTATAATGTAAATAATGCATATAGCCAATTTAATAACCCTATATAGTGTGGAGAACATAGTTCTTAATAAAAAAAAAACAAATTGTTCAACTTAAGGTGCTGCAGACCCAGTGACCCACTTTATTTTGAAGTGTTGGAGTGTAAAATGGTTACACCAATTTTTAAGGAATAAAACTGACATACTGAGCAGGAGAGGTCTCAAACGTGTGGTTTAATACAGTGAATCTCAACCTTTTGGCGTACCGGACCCCAGTACAATTCAGGACCATCCTCAAGGACCCCCAGAACAAAATTGACTCGTATCATTTGTGTCTTTGTGAGGACCAAATGCAGTCAAGTATAATTCAAGTTAGCTGACTTGTCCAGTATTTGGCCATATCATCAGCTATATTGGATTTTTCTTTCATGGGAACATATCATGTCAAAATATACAAAATGTATACAGAAATTCATAATTTATGCGGACCCCCTGGCCTTATGTCAAGGACCACTAGGGGTCCACGGACCCCTGGTTGAGAAACACTGGTTTAATAGCTGTTAAGTCTGTTGTGCAGGACTCTGGAGTGTGTGTTTGACACTGTGCTTTACGGAGTGTTTGACACAGCGACTGAGACTGTCGGGAGCCTCTCTTGAGGATTCACTGACAGCTACATCAGAAAAGAGGAAATGCAAGACACAGTTTAAACACAAAAGAATGGTGATGCCCAGAAACTCACTGACAACCGAGGAACTGTGACTGGAGGAAACAGCAGATGATGGTTTGATCTCATGCTGATTCTTCTCACACCAGACTGTTCCAATGTGTGTCAAGGAGATGGAAAAACACATTTTATTTAATGCAAAAAAAAAAAAACTTTCTTGTTGCCAGTTTTTGGAAAATATAACATTTTAATCTGTTCAACATCATGTGACACTATTCTAGAACTTTGTTGAACACAATCTTTATGAAGAGAAAAACAAACCCTGAATTCTCTTGTAATGTACATTATTCAACCCTCTACATTGCGAGTAAATCACTCGCATATGCGACTAAATCTTCACTCTGGGCGACTAAATGATGTCTAATATTAGCCAATGGCTAATAAATTCTCAGATTTTACTCGCCAGTGTGTGAGTTGGAGGCTGAGTATATGATTAGCACAGATATATTTTCACTCACAGAACACTCTGACTGAGCGCTTCAAGAGTTTCACTCTCCGTCAAGCGATCTGTGATATTTTTCAGTTAATTTGAATGGATGCGCAGCGCACCTGTGTTTGTGTATTTGGCGTAAAGTAAACTAGTGTGAAGGCGCACAACTCTCCGTCGCTTTCTCTCACGTGCGCAAAGAGCGAGAGCGAGTGAGAGTCTTACATAACATGCAGAATTGATGCGCTACATGTAAACGATATACTTTGTTGTATTTTCCTGTAATCTTATTAGTAGAATTCGTATAATAATAATAATAATAATATCTTATCAGTATTATTGTTCGTTTTTTTTTTACAGGAACACTGAATGACCAAAAAAAGTTAATGGTTACCCAGTTTTAATTCTAATTACTAAACTTCTATTATTAAATAATACTTGATCATCATATTATAATGCTTGACTGCTTGACTGACTGATATTAAGAATGTACTTTCAGATTTTTAAAAAGCTGTACCATTTTACAAACATTATATATGTGTGTAAAATGGCATAACTTATATATATATATATATATATATATAGTATAGTATAGTATTTCAGTCTGGCGAGTAAACAAAAATAATAAACTAGCCAATGGCGATTCAATTGCCAAGGTGTCCGTTGAGGGTTGTTATTGTATCTGTCATGTTGTTATTTTAAAGTACCTTACAAATGAAAATAATTCTTTTTTTTTGTGTGTGTAATTTCATATCTTGCTTTATCACAATAGCATAGATTTCATGTTGTGCCAACTGAAATAAACTGCTGAAATTAAAAGCTGAAATAAAATGCTGAACTAAAATATAAAAATTAGCTGCAAAATTTCTTTGGAAATAAGTTTGAAACACTAAAATTACTAAAACTAAAACGGAATTAGATATAATTTAAAGCTTAACAGAAATAAAAACTATAAAAATAAAAGCACATAACAAAACTTTGTTCAGAAAATTCCTACATTGAAATATTTGATCATAATTTGCATTCAAATGCTATTTTCTTCAAATTAAAAAAAGGATGTGAACATACAGAAGTGAACAAGAACGATTCATTTACTCAGAAGATTTGTTCACACATTGATTTATGAACATAGCTTCAAAACTGAATTTTTTGAAAAAAATATAATGTGTACATCTTCAATTATTATTCCAAAGTTTTGTAATTTCTAGTAAGATTCATTCACTCAAAAAATGTGTTCAAACACACCGGTTCATAAATGTAACATCAGAAGTATTCCTGAACAATTCTGATACAGAGGCGAAATGGAACACTACAAAAAATAATTAAAATATTAATTAATAAATAAAGACCAGAAAGAAAATGAAAAAACTCTGTAAAAGTTGTTTCTTAGTGAAATCGCACACTCTCTCATACTCTTTTCTCCGCATTCACTCACAGCTTGAAGACTTTTTACTCTTAAGCTTCCACTCAGTCGGGTAAACTTTTCTCCCTCCTGCTATGCAGGCCTGATCCTGTACCTCAGATGTCTACCTTCATCAGGAACCACCTGCTTACATTACCGGTGTTCAAAGGGCCTAGAACTGGGCTTCATATGTGCATATGTTTTTTGTAATGAGTATCTGGATGCGGGATCTAAAGTTCCAGGAGGGAATCTAGGCCAGTGCTCCAATGAATGACAATATGATTAAAAACACCTACGTTACAGGATCGTTACCGAATGAAAGTTAATAGTCACTAACCTAAGGCATCATGGGTGGATTGTTTTAGTTTTTGAGTTGTGGTTCTCCAAAATCGTTTTTTTCTCAGCAGCTGATTATAGCAAAGTGGACTCATGACTGACAAAGAAGTCATCATGACTTCATGTACAATCTCACACTTCACTGTAATGTGGCAGCATTCTTGCACATCTCAAAATGCGCTTCTTGGCAAGATACAAATGTAAACATAGTCAGCTATGTTTTACTGTAAGTGAATATAAACAGCACTTTAGATGTCTCTTATGTACTTCTTTCTTTTACCCTATTCTGTGCTGAAAATTTTTCTGTAATTTAGAAAGTGTAAATTTGGTGGGCTACAGATATTTTACAGCAGGTTATGAACATTTGAGCGTGTGTTACACACATACTCCTCTTCTATACTTACAAAGAGTATACAGCTGTTCAAAATTTAGGGGTCAAAAAATGTAAATAAATAAATACATATTTTTTTAATATTTTGAAAAGTATATTATGCTTCTCAAGGCTGCATTTATTTGATTTAAAATACAGCAAAAACTGTAAATTTGTGAAATATTATTAATATGTAAATAAACTTTTTCTATTTTTAAATACTTTTAAATGTAATTTATTTCTGTAGTGGCAAACCTGAATTTTCAGCAGCCATTAATCCAGTCTTCAGTGTCACATGATCTTTCAGATTTGCTGATTTGCTTCTCTAAAACTGTATTATTTTCAATGTTGAAAACAGTTGTGCTGCTTAGTGTTTTTGTGGAAACCATGATCCCTTTTTTTAGAATGTATGAATAGAAAGTTCATTTATATGAAATAAAAATATTTGTAACATTATAAATGTCTTTACTGTCACCTATGATCAATTGAATGCATCCTTGATGAATAGTATAAATAAAAAAAAAAGAAAAATATTTTTTTTTCAATAAATTAATACTGAATGTGTAAATCTTCAATTATTTTACCAAAGTTTATGTAATATCTATAAACCAAATTAATTGAAACGTTTGCAAAGTTTAAGAACTTTGTGACTGTTTTAGATCCATAATTAATATTTGAGAAATTTATATAATTTTTTTGGGTAATATATTATGATCCCTCTAGTCTGTGTGTTTGTTTTTCCTCATTAAAAGTGAGATAATACAGCCTGACTTGCACAACAATGTCTGGATCCCACATTAAGACTCATTCTGAAGTCATTAGCTTTTAATGTAATGCGGCGTCTCAATATTTTATAGTCTCAATTTTAGCGCGATTGATGTGCAACGTTTAAAGACTTTTCAAAGGAGAAGCTTTTCTGACTTTAATAATAGATGTGCGGCAGGCTCACCGGCCTTTGATTTTGTTAAGAAAGTCATGAAGCATGAAACTGATAACTGAGTGTGTGATGTCTGCACCTTTTCCTTTCATCATCCTATTAAACTGTCATTTTGTTTTTAACAACTCTTTCATCCTTTTAAATGTTCACTCCCTTCATTTTCTCTTATCCCTTTTCTTTCCACAGTAAACATGACGAGCGCTACATCTCCAATCTTGCTAAAATGGGACCCCAAGAGTCTTGAGATTCGCACGCTGACTGTGGAGAGGTTGTTGGAGCCGTTGGTCACACAGGTAATGTCTTGTTATTTATAAAACGGATAGTTCCGGTCCTTGATTCTGATTGGTTGAGCCGCGTTCGAAGCTGTTGTAAATTACACTACAAACATACATCTTTGTTTTCTTCTGTGTGTTGCTCTGCAACCACTTTGTTGGAACCACAACAACTACAGCAAGTTTGGTGGAAGAATACGGTTTTTATTTATATCATTACACTTTATTTGCACCCTGCTTGCAGTTTCTTCTTAGCAAGTCCAGTCACTTATGTACAGATTCCACTGAAACTTGGCAATTCATTGATCTGGCCTGTCGGTATCGGTCTGTCACAAGTTAAATGTTGTCAAAATCTCCTGTTGAGCTTCACTAATCAAGTAGCCTATTTAGCATTTAAAATCATTAATGGTATTAATGGTATGTTTGCTTCAGTTTTCTGCTTTCAAGCACTGGGATTTTGGTCTAGTATTGGCTGATTACTGGACAGTGTAGAAACCAAAACTGTTTGAAGGCCTTGTCAGAGAAGTGCAAGCTGAATATAGGTTGTACTCAGATGCTGGATGCTACACTGTACATTGTCTCCAGAACTCCAGAGCTCACAGCAGGAATCACATTTTAGACTTGCTTTTTATTTGTTCTCTTGTGTCTAGGGTATATCTTGTTGTTTTTTGGGCTTAAAATACTGGGAAAAGTTTGCAAATTAACAAACAAGCAAACTTTTTTGACATCAGTCAAAAGTTTGGACACACCTACTTAGTCTCTATTTTTGCTATTTTTCACATGTTAGGATAATAGTCATCAAAACACAACTAGGAATTATGTAGTGACAAAAATAAAGAATGAAAATATCAGTCGAGTGTGTCCAATCATGTTTTACTGGTTGTATATCTGCCATGTACTAAGAGGGACAACTTAAACAACCATTCAAAAGTTTGGGGTCAGGAAGAATTTATTAATATTTTTTTAAAGAAATGAATACTTTTATTCAGCAGTGATGCATTAAATTACAGTAGACTTTTGCACTGAAAATTTGTTTCAGGTAATTGCTGTTCTGTTGAACTTTCCATTTATCAAACAATCCTGAAAAAAAGATGATGATGGTTTCCACTAAAATAATACACTGTATATAAGTGTTCAAAATTAATAATACTAAAAATGTTTCTTGAACACCAAATCAGCATATTAGACTGATTTCTGAAGGACACTAATTCCTGATATTTTTTAAACTTTTAAAATATATAAAATACATATTATTATAAATTACAATAATATTTCAAAATATTATAGTTTTAATTGCATTTTAAAGGGGTCATATGATGTTGCTAAAAAGAACATTATTTTGTGTATTTGGTGTAATGAAATGTGTTTATGCGGTTTAAGGTTCAAAAAACACATTATTTTCCACATACTGTACATTATTGTTTCTCCTCTATGCCCCGCCTTTCTGAAACGCGTCGATTTTTACAAAGCTCATCGGTCTGAAAAGCGAGGTGTGCTCTGATTGGCCAGCTATCTAGTGCATTGTGATTGGCGGAATACCTCAAGCGTGTGACGGAAATGTTACGTCCCTTACCATATTGTGATGCCCTGTCCGGCTGGAGCGATGATTCAAAAAACATTAAAACCCATTATAAACGAGGCATTTGTTGCATCCAGTGGGGACATAATTACGGATTATAATGACTTATGACACATGACATGTGACGACCCCGGGCTGGACTCTGCTTCGTCCGCGGTGAAAGCCGATCCGGCGATCCACAGCGCGAAGTTGATGTATTTCCTCAGCGACCAGCACGGATCAGCTCTAGGCATGACAAAGCGGATATCGTCCTCTTTTGGAAGGCCAAACAAAGTAGTTTCGCTTTCACAACGAAACACACAGAGTCTCGACATGGTGGCAGCAACAATACTACAGCGAGAATAAAAGTTACGCCTTCTTTCTTTGCGTGAACATTTGGGCGGCGTTATGCAAATCTTCCCACATCGTGACGTAGATATGTGGGGGCGTGTTAGAACGAGCCGTTTTAGGTAGGCGTGGTTGACTCTTAACTTTTATAAAGAATATCTCTTTGGATTTGAGACTTTAGTCTTTGCAACTTTACAGATCTTCTTTATGCACCAAGAGCTTGTAACACTTCAAAGAGAAAAGGAAAAATTGAAATGGCATCATATGACCCCTTTAATCAATTAATCAAATGCAGTATTTATGAGCATAAGAGGCTCAAAAACATTAAAATAAATCTTACAGACCCAAAAGTTTTAAATGGTGAATACAATCTTTTTCCCTTCAAAAAACCAGAGACCATTATTGTCTGAAGGAAAATTACATTTCCCATTAAACAGTATTTTCTGTATTCTGAGCAATTATGTGTCATTAAAGTGCTGTTTTACAGCCTTTATGGCTTTCTCAGGGAATTAGTTGTCTTAATGAAGTGTCTTATAAAACAAAAGTATATCTTCCCATAAAAAAAACAACAACTTACCATTAAAAAGAGACCTGGAGCTTTTTTTCCTTTCACAACATTAATTGATGGCTAAGTGCAGATGCCGGCTTGATACTTTAGATTATTCTCTACCTTTTAGACAGCTTATGTTTCTTCTGGGAGAGGAAATGGGAATCGTGAATCTTAGGCCTGCAAAGTTTGGGATGGACAACCATGTGCTGCAATCATCTTGTTTGAGCCACCTTAACCACCTTTAGTGTTAGCTTGTTTTGACAAAAGAAATTAGACAGCGTAGACATAGTAATATCCCATCGCAATTAGCTTTCTCCCCCACCCCCTGGAATCTATCCTTCATTCTCTGTATTCACTCACACATGCTTTGATCTGATGAAGATGTACCTGGACCTCTCACAAAGATGCCATTAACAGTACCATGCACAGTTCTGAGGACAGTGCCCTGAAGCTGAATTTTCAAAGCTAGGCTGGAAAAATGTTGAGGTATATGGCCAACAGTCTGTTATTTGGCCAACTACTATTATGTGAACTGGCTGCTTTGATCTCAAGGGGGACGGTTCTTAAAATGGCATTGCCTGAGGGTTTCTGAACATTCTGAGACAATTTATAATCAGGATGTTAATAGTCAACAGGGGTCACATTTGGATCATGAAGGTTGACTGGTCCAACAAGTGTGTGTGCTTGAGTATAGTAGACAGAGCTGTGTCACTGATGACACGCAGAACATGCAGGCTTTTTGCGATTTAATATTCCCAGACACTAATCCATAATGAGATTTGATTAAGTGTACAGCCTTATTTTTGATTTATTCATCCAAATTTTGCCAAATTGCATGATATTCAGCACTTTACAGTAAATTCCATTTTTGAACACGATTCCGTCCAAGTTTTCAGCATCGTGGAAATCATAGGGCCTAGCATATCACTCGATTTACTACGATGACAAGTGCAAATGTTTTTTCAGCCATTCTTCTTGCAAAATGTTGTATAGGAAGCATGTAATAGCTCAGAGCACAAGATGCAGCCTGTGGAAGAAAGTTTGATTTCGGATAAACAAGTGAAGAAAAACATTTCCTCCCTGGGTGAGAGACTGATTGATATGGCCAGTTTACAGCTTTTGTGGAGTTTACTGCTCAGCTTTCATCTCTCGACCCTTTGCCGCACGCTCCCTTTCTTTCTCTCATTGTTTCTCACTCTCAAACACTCCTCAGCACAATGTGACAACTCCCCATAGTTGTTCGCCTCAGCTTTCCCATTGTTCTGTTACATAATGGAGGCATATGGCACAAGGAATCATGGGAATGCTAATGGATTCTTAACACAGAGTTAATTCTTTATTTGAAATCGGTGTGGTAAGCAGCCCGGCTAAAAACAAGTCTTTGGTTCTCCACTCACTTACTCTTTTATGATCTCATGAGGATCTGCTGAAATAAACCAGCCTCTTATGTGAAGAGGAACGGGGTTGAACGGGGACAGTTTATGTCGTGATATGGTGGGGATGGGGGGTGGGGGATCCTCTAATAACAAAGCTAGAGTAAAACGTATTTCTGCAACTCTTGTAGAAAGCAAATAAACAATTGAAAGGGTGATGTATCAGACAGACACGGACACCTACTGACATTAATCAGACCTTGCTGTCATTCTATATTCAACACGCAGAATTGCCTTTCATTTCAAAGGGAAAATATCTTCAAGACCGCAGTAGCATTATGAGACATGGTAAGTTTGGTTATTGTCAAACTGAGTGTCAATTTGGGTTTGTTTCCTATCAAGGACAAAAGCGACGGATATTGAATCCTTGAGTGAGTGTGTGCACACACCTATGCAGGTTTTTATTGGAGTGGCACCTCAACAAAGTATTCTGTGAAATGAGCCTGTCTCCTTGAGACAGGTTAAAGTCGATAAGGACTGTAAGATAGATGAGTACTGATTTAAGGTCAAGGCTGAGGGAAGAACTTGAATACCTTCTACCACATTCATTTTGATTTGAGCTGTGTAAAACAAAGCTAATGTGTTGTATGCTATAAAGCTTCACCATTAGCTGTAATAAGTCTGTGATTTTTTTTTTCCACATCGGATACAGGGCAATTTTCTTTTCTGTTTAGTTTTAGGGTTTTATTATTTTAAATGATTCTACAAAAAAATACTAATAATTACAGCAAACCCAAAAAGACGATCCATGTTGTGATGCCTAAATAACATTAAAATGAATGATTTTAGTATTTTTTTTTTTGTTTTTTGTTTTTTTTTAGGCAAAATAATATAGAATTTGTAATATTGGCCATTGCTTGAAAATGATCATTGCCTTGTCAGCATTCTTTTTTTCCCTTGCATTTTTTTTGTTGCAGCTCTTTAATTTAATTTAATTTAATTTAATTTAATTTAATTTAATTTAATTTAATTTAATTTAATTTAATTTAATTTAATTTAATTTAATTTAATTTAATTTAATTTAATTTAATTTAATTTAATTTAATTTAATTTAATTTAATTTAATTTAATTTAATTTAATTTAATTTAATTTAATTTAATTTAATTTAATTTAATTTAATTTAATTTAATT